AGCCGCATCCTGCCCTGCGCCCCCCCGCCAGCCCCAGCCTCCCGGCTCTGCCTCCCCACACATCCCCAACGCCCCTCAGCCTGGCTTGTCCCCCACTAAAGGGGTCCCACACAGTCCCCAAGGACTTGCCAGGTGTCGCCACGGGTGTCACAGAGATGTCCTGGGGCAGGATAGCCCCTCTCCTGGCCACCATCTTGGTGACATGCTGCGCCCAGGCTGAGGACACGTCAGCCGTCCGCTCGTTTGTGTGCGACGCATAAACAGAACCGGCTGCAACGACAACAGGGGGACCGGTCAAGGAGGGGGACAGTGGGGACAGCAGGGCACTGCCAAGATGTCCCCCTCCCATGGGGACGTACCCACGGGGCCGTCGTGCGAGACGGTGTGCATGCTGAAGGACAGCTCCTGGCCTGGGTCACGCAGCAGCTCCTTGCGCTTGGAGAAGGCCTTGGCGATCATCTTGCTCTTCTTGATCCTCTTGGGCTGGTCATCGCTCTGTCCCGTCAGCCTGGGGACACGGCGGGTCAGAGAAGGGACACGGGGGGGCACAGGGGGGACACAACCCCAGGCAGTGCAGCTGGGGGCATGGGGACCCTCCGCATCTCCATCTCCCACTCTGGACAGGGACACCAAGGGCTGGGGGCACAGTGACCCTCCCCATTCCCTCTCCTGCTCTGGACAGGGACACCAAGGGCTGGGGACTGTGTTGGATGGGTCCCCCGGAGACAGAGGTGACCCACAAACAGGACAGAGGACACCTGCAAAGTGGGAGAGGCCACCCCCTTCCCAAACCGCTGTCTGCTGCGAGCCCACAACTCATTGAGTTGAGGGACACAAGTCTGGGGACAACCTCCAACATCTCAGGATGTTGGATGGGGCTGGAAGGGTCACATGGAGCTGAGGTGACATCCCTGGGGTCCCACCTGCACCAGGTGCGCTTCCAGATGAGCAGGGTGGCCTTGGTCCAGACCCAGGTGCTCATGGAGACGCCGGTGCCAAACATGGCAAAGAGGTTGATCTTCTCCACCAGCAGACTGGGCCGGTTCTTGATCTCGCAGTCCGGGATGGGCTTGTTGGTCTGCGTGGCGATGGTCACGTTGGCCTCGCACCTGCGGGGACAGACGCAGGATGGTGGCTGTAAGGAGGGGGACACCCAATGACACCCGCAGGATGGTGCCCGTAAGGAGGGGGACACCCAACACCACCCCACAGCTCTGCAGAGTGGAGATGTGGTGGCAATGCCGTGGAGGACGTGGGGCTCTCCGCTCTGCAACATCCCCCACTAAACGTGGGGTGCTGGGATGTCACCATTGTCCCACTTGCCCTCCCGTCCCCGTCCCACTCACAGGACGTATTCCCGAAAGCTGCGCTCCCACTCCGCCTGGTTGAAGAAGTCGTAGAAGTGGCAGCCGAAAGTGATGAAGACAAAGCCGAAGGCCAAGAAGCCGAAGATGCCTGGAAGAGAAGTGGGACGTCCCTGGTTCAGCCAGACCCCAATGACACCGGGACGAAGACGCTTCATTGGGACTGTGCCACTGTCACTACAGCTTTGTCCCCCACTGCGGCCACCCCCGGGAAGGTGGGATGGGGCTGTCTGGGTTCAGGGGACAAAATGTCACCGTTCCCACTCAAATTTCCACGGAAGTGGTGGCGGTGGAGCCCCGCTCTCCCAGCCGCAGCATGGTCTCGTTGATCTTGCTGGCCGCCTTCTCGCTCAGCAGCCCGGGGTGGTTGCTCTTGATGGAGAAGAGTGTCATGACCCCTGCGGTGGAGGGATGAGGTGGTCAGGGTGGGGGGGACAACCACGGTGGCTCTGTCCCCACACCAGCTGAGCCCACACCTACCCCGGATGAGGAAGTAGCCACCCACGATGAGGACGAGCCCGATGGGTGCCAGGACGAAGCCGGCCCGGTAGCGGTAGTTCTTGTACCCCACGAAGCAGATGCCGCTGACGGAGTCACCATCCACCTGGGAAAGATGGGGACAGGGTGGGGGGGTCCGCTGGCTGTGGCCACTGCTCCCTGCGCACGTCACCCTGGCAGGGAGCCACCACAACATGAGATTGTGGTCCCATTACCTGCGCCACAGCCAGGATGGCGACAGTGAGGACGAAGGGGATGGACCAGGTGATGAGGTGGAAGTAGGAGGTCTTGCCCAGCAGCGGCTGGTAGGTGGTGCCCAGCGCCTTGAAGGAGGTGTGCCAGGCGTAGGTCAGCATGACGAACCAGATGACACCCGACATCAGCGAGTAGTAGACGATGACGAAGATGATGACGCAGGAGAGCGTCTCGTTGGAGCTACGGGGGGAGACAAGAGCGTCACCAACCTCCACGAGGGGACAGGGAGGAGGAATTGGGTCTCTCCTTCCCCAAGAGAAGCCAGGAAACCCCAAGAGCCCTCCTCGGTCCTGGGGACACCTCTTGGCACGTGGCTGTGGTGGGATGGGGACAAACATGACACGTACGTGGGTTCCCCCAGCCGCATGGTGCCGTCGGCACGGCACACGATCTCGTCGCGGGCACCATCCATGAACTGCGCCAACCAGCCAATGCTGCCCACGAAGAAGCAGGCGTTGACGTAGAAGAGGATGACGGCGGGGTAGCGGTTGGAGTTCCTCCAGTCGGCGACGAATGTGGCCTGGCCAGGGGGCAGAAAGGGACAGCTTGGTGCCTGGTCCCCTTTTGGGGACATTTCCCCCTGTCCCCTGCATCTCACCAGGGTGAAGAAGGTGCAGAAGATGGTGACGGAGCTGAAGGCGGCGATGTAGACGTGCATCTTGCGGTGCTCCTTCTCGGTGAAGAGCGGGTTCTGGCACTGGATGCCGCAACCCTCAACGTCCTCGTACCAACTCTTGGGGTTGTCTGTCCGCACCAGCGGCGCCTCGCACTGCCCCGAGCTGTTGAACTTGATGTTCTGCACCTCGTTCTGCCGGAGGAGAAGGGGAAATGTGAGGAGGAGGAGGAGGAGGCACCTCCACGGCAAAGGCTGTGCTGCCGGGGTGGACATCAGTCCCCCAGGGAGGGCTGGGGACAGCTGGTATTTCCCTGCTCTGCTGTCCCATGGGGATTTGGAGCCTGTGGCAGTGTGGCAGGGTGTCCCCCTGTGTCCCCCACCGTACCGGGCATCCCTCGGGGAAGCGGTCGGACGTGCACTTGAGGAAGTCGGGCCACCCGCGCTCGCGCTCCACGATGGTGCAGGGCGCCCGGGTGGCCTGGCAGAGGGTCTGGCTGGGCAGCTCCACTTGCCCGTCCTCACACTTGGGCATGTAGACGGCGCAGAGCAGGGGCTGGATAACGTCCCAGCAGCGCGGGGCGTTGCGCAGGCCTGTGGGGACAGTGCTG